TTCTCTGAGTCTGATTTTACTCATATCTAAATATGGCTTTTTCAAGCATAGCAAAGATAGTATGGTGAATCAGTAGCTATAACATTCACAAGTTGAAAAAAAATTAAAAAAATAACCACAAGATGTTATTCGAATTAGCGATGATATAATTAATAAAAGTCAATATAGAACCACAAGCCTAAAAATTAGAGTACTTAGTAATTCATAATCGTAGTAAAAATCATACAAGTATTTTGCATAAATATATTACTAAGAAAAGATGAAGGAATGAAGAACTCGAAGTTGTTAGCCACCAAAATTGCTCCCGGCGTTGATCTTGCCTCCAAAAGTGTCCAACCCACAAAAAAGTAGGTTTAGAACCCTTTTTATACATGTTGGGGGCGTGTAGGGTCGAAACAACTAATTTCTAGCCGAAATAGGACAAAGTTCGTGCTAAGGCGCTACGGGGCGCCTTGATGCCAAACCTTTTGAGGTGCTGCCAATGGAGTCGTGGGAGGCGCCTATCCCTAATCCATGCACCCAAATTTTTCCAGTGCTCCGCTGCCTTTAGCGTTTTGAGAGGCCTTGGCTCCAAGTTGGACGCCAAAATTATATTTCCTCTAAATTCTTCCGTTTCAGCTTCAATCTGCACACGGCCTTTCCAAATCACTTTGATAAACTCCTACACATAGCAACACAATTATTAAGATTGAGAGACAAATATTCACACCAAACTTAACAAGATCAAGGCATATGCAAGGCTAATTACATGCAAAAATATGAAATTTTAGCCAAACATCTCTACAGCATTAAGAAAACATATGCAAGTCATGAATGAAAGAGCTGTGATTTATGGAACAAAGGACTACTCTGGTAAGATATACATGATATCTTCTAATCTATTTTCTATGATTTTAATGAATAATGTGAGCGTGCTCGCGCCAACCGAAACTCACATTAACCTTCTTTGCAATTTAACAAAAATATTTTGTGAGAAGACAACTCTAGTAAAAGTATTGCCTCGGCTCACCTTGATATCTTCCTTTTGAATAACTCCATTTTCTCCAATTCAACATATTTAACTTCTCAAATCAATCTTTACACAATTATGTCAAGAATCAATACTAGAAGTTTCATAATTTCTAACTTCAGAAAACCTAGGTTTGCAATTCTTTTTCAATTTTCTAGACTTCGTATTTAATCTAGGTTTTGTATTATTTTTAGGCAACTCTTTGCCAATAATCGTAATTAAAAGCGGATTGCAGAGTTTACCTCGAATCGTGAAATCCTAGATTGGAGAAAAACCTTGTTCTTGAACTCCTATTGATAATCTAGTTATTTTGGGATGAAATCTAGTTGAACCGTTGTTGAGGAGTAATAATCTAAATTGAATCATGTTGGGACTTCCCTTTACTGATAAGTGATTAGTCTAGGTCCCTTTGGAGTTGAGGTAGACGTCTGGGATTTCAAATTTTTGAACTAACTTATTTTTTTGATTTTTACTTTTATATTTTGCGTTATCGGATCGCTCGGGAAGAATTTTAGCCTAGAACCTCGTGTCACCCGTCATGGGGCACCCCCGTGTAAGTAGGGTTCTTTGAGAAGTTGGATTTTTTTACCTTTGACACAAATTTGCCCCGGCGCCTCCTGCCACACGCCGCAGGGCAATTCCTGAGGCTACATCAATATTTTGTTACTTTTCAGTAAAAAAGTCATAACTTCTTATAAAAATATCATAATAACAAAATGTTTGAAATTATGAAAACTATACTCAAAGAGTTTCATTTGATATATAGCTCGTAGTTTAATTTCTTATAAGATGGGAGGTATGATCGTTCAAAATTAGGACATGCACGACTGTAGTCTGTCTTCTTGTCTTAAACATTTTCAAATATGATTTGTATCATCTTTCCTCTTTTTCAAAAATCTATAACACCTTACAAATATAAAAATTTAGGTATTATACACCTTAAAAAAATTTCAAATACTTTTGTATTTAACTTAGAGCCTAAACAAGAACGTAATGTTTAGCAAAAATTTCTAGGGTACTACACAAAGATTCCAACTACTTCACTGCCAGAGAAAATATAGTTTCGTTAAAGTTGACGATGTTGGGTTTCTAAGGTATAAATGGCAAAAGGTACCTTTTGAATTTCACCTTTTCATTGCCTATAAATTCAGAGACTTGGCCATATTTTCTTTGTATTATATTTCCAAAATAGACAGAAGTGTTAAGAGTAATTTCTCTATTCTTAGAGTTCGCCGAAGTTTTGTAATTTGAAGTATCACTATTATTGAACAATGTATAATATTTTATTCTAGGAGAAACTAATCTAAACCTTGAGCAGTAACGAGAGAATTAAATTACTTAAAGACACATAAAGAATTTTGTGGGCTCGAGATTATTTAATATTTTTGGTTATTATATTTTTTTTTCAGTTTTCTACCATTACTATTTTCCAAACACAAGTTTATAAAGATCTTAAAGAACATATAAAAAGTTTGCCTTCTAGTTAATTATCAAGTACAAATGTTTTACTTTTCTTGTCGAAGCTGTATGAATTATTGCTTGTTTTGACTTAAATTTCATTTTATATAATATATTAACTTGATCTTTTGTGTTTCTGGTTGATTGAGAGTGTGGATGGGCCACAGCCTTAGAGGAGGAGGAGGAGGAGGAGAATAAGAGAAAAGGTATTTGCTTTGCCCATAAAACAAAAAAGTTTATTTTTAACAACTTTTTTAGAAATAATACAAAATTTTAAGACACGCAATGTAATTTCTAGCAGGGACACTTCTCCATTGCTAGTCTTAAAATTGCACTGGTTGCTCTCATAAGGGATTAATCTTTAAATATTGTCCCCATTTTAAATTTTATTGCGAAAATATATTTCTTCTTCATCAAGAACACTATAGTTTTTCAGTATTGAAAGCTTGAAATTTGTTTAGGCGTAAAATTTTAAGTTAATGACTGATTATAGTTAAAATCGTTTGAATATTGATAATTGTGCTTAAACTTTAGTTCAAACATTATACTGATTGACGAGACGCGTTGTGGTGTTAACGAGAGGTTAGACGTATGGAGACAGACTTTGGAGTCAAAAGGTTTCAAGTTGAGCAGGACCAAAAAAGAATACTTGCAGTGCAAGCTCAGTGGCGCGACTCAGGAAGAGGACGAAGACGTGAGGCTTGATTCACAAGTTATCCCTAGGAGAGAAAGTTTAAAGTACCTTGGGTCTATTATACAAAGGAATGGGGAGATTGGCAAGGATGTCACACACTGTATTGAGGCGAGATGGATGAAATAGAGGCTCGCTTCCGGTATTCTGTGTGATAAGAATATGCCATCAAAACTTAAAGGTAAGTTCTATAGAGCAGTGGTCAGACCGACTATGTTTTATGGGGTAGAGTGTTGGCCAGTCAAGACATCCCATGCCAGAAGATGAAGGTGGCGGAGATGAGGATGTTAAGGGGAATATGCAGGCATACCAGGTTAGATAAAATTAGAAATGAAGTTATCCGGGACAAGGTGGGTGTGGCCCCTGTGGAGGATAAGATGCGGGAGGCGAGACTTAGATGGTTCGGGCATGTGAAGAGGAGAGGCATTGATGCTTCGGTGAGGAGGTGTGAGAGGCTGGCATGGGAGGACCAACGGAGAGGTAGAGGCAGGCCGAAGAAGTATTGGGGAGAGGTGATTAGGCAAGATAAGGCGTTGTTCCAGCTCACTGAGGATATTACTATGGGTAGGAAGGTGTGGAGGTTGAGAATAAAGGTAAAGGGTTAAGCAGACGAGTGTTGTCCTTGTTTGTAGCAGTAGATTTGATACACCACTCGGTGCCTTCCGTTTCTTTTTTTTCGTACCCTTAGTCTTCTGTTACTACTTGCTATTGTCTTTTGTTTCGGTTTTCTTATTGCATTATCTATTGCTAGTTTTGTATTTTTGCTTCGGTTGTCAGATCGGGTTTCTTGTTATTGCCCCTTCCCTCTCCCCTTCCTGAGTCGAGGGTCTACTGAAAACAGCCTATCAGCTTTTTAAAGGCTGAGGTAAAGTCTGCGTACACTATATCCTCCCCAGACCCCACTTGTGGGACTACACTAAGTATGTTGTTGTTGCATTCTTGGTCTTTAGAAAGTACTGAAAGAGACAAAGTGAGTCTTTTTAATTTAGTGTTACTTGACTAAATGATGATTGGGGATCACTTATTTTGCTATTTGGAGGATTTATTTCAGATTTGAAATTATTTAGAATAGATTTGGGGTGATTTGATCGAAATTTAAAAGCAATTGCAATTTCAAAGAAAATTTGGTCGAACAACCTAGATAATTATGTCAATTGGGTAGACTTTAATGAATAATTTAACAAATAGGTTGATTGCAAATAATTCAAGGTCATACCACTATGGTAGAGTTCAGTGAACAATTAACAAACACAAAATCATACCAATTGGATAGGGTTTGTGAATAATTTAACAAATAGGTCCAATATAGATAACACAAAGTTATGACAATATGGTAGAATTTGGTGAACAATTACAAAGTCAGCCAATCAGGTAAAGTTTGAACCGTCAATAATATTGGTAGAGTAAATATAATATAAAATCTACCAATATATTAGAGAAATACCTGACAAACGATAATATGTGTAGATCAGAGATCATTTTCTAAATAAATTAATAAATGGAAACAATATCTAAGAACATCCCCTAGCAAAAAATTACAGAAATATGATTTTTTTGGGGGTGGTCTTTTACTTTTGATCCCACTCGCCTCATGGGCAGAACTTCGAGGTCAAAAATTAAAAATATTGTCCATGAGGCAAATGAGGAAAAATACTTGTCAAACTTGAAATTCTACCCATAAAACAAGCAGAGGCAAAGCAAGACCACTCTGAGGGCTATTTGTGTACTTCACCCCCTTTATACGGCCATTTCTATCAATCATGACTAATATTGGCCCAATTATCAATGGAATTGGACTGAAGCCCAAAAGACAGAGGGTTCATCTCAACCGTAAGCATGCCTGTCGGAGGCCGTCAGATCTAGGGCAATTTCTGAACTGAGGTTTAGGTCTTTGTCTCAAAACCTTACTATCTTCCATTAGAAGAGAGAGAAAAGGAGAGAGGTTCCAAAGATGGTGCAGAGACTTACTTATCGGAAACGCCATAGCTATGCAACCAAATCCAACCAGCATCGTGTCGTTAAAACCCCTGGTAATTGAGTCGTAAATTGATTAGTTATTGAATGTTACTTTGAAAGTATTTTTAACGGGATTGATTTTGAATGTAGGTGGGAAGTTGGTATACCAGAGTAGCAAGAAGCGAGCTAGTGGGCCTAAGTGTCCTGTTACTGGGAAGAGGATTCAAGGGGTAATGTCATCTCTCTTTCACTTATTTTGTGTTCTTTTATGTATTTACATGTAAGATATTTGTTTATCAGAATAGGGCTACCCAATTAGCTTTAGCTATTGATACCTAAGAATAAAAGACGAATAATAATTTAGTATTGGAATGAAATGGGCCCGGAAGCGGAATGAATTTAGAAGACAGTGGCGGAGGTAGGATTATCAACAAGGGGGTTCAATATCTACTATATACATAAAATAGATTTTTGACTTTTTATATACAGTGTGATTTTCTTATGCCCCTCTAGCTCTGCCTTTTGAAGATTCATATTGCCACCGCCAATTTATTTGAGTGTGAGGCTTAGTTGATTGATTCGTTGATATCTTTAAGAATACAATCATTTTTACCGCACCTTGCTTACAATGGTCTCTTGTATGTGTAGTTTTCATTTGCACCTTTTGGGCCTCTAGGCTCTTTATGGTGCCATTTCTAGTTCATGGCGTTTTTATCCAACTTTGCATGTTGGTGGGCTGGTAGCCTACCTTTTAACGTTATATGAACCTCACTGGGCGTATCAAGTTATGTTTCCTTACATGTGGATTCTGTGGTTGCTGTAGTATGAAAATGTTATGTTGGCAATCTAAGTGAGCATTTCTTTTTCGCATGTTTAACTGGATATATTTAGCTTGTTCTAGACTGCTAGGTGTTCCTCAGACTCACAGTGAGGCTAAAGCATCTATATTGCTCTTAGAGAGTTTTATTATTCTTGAGCTAATCATACTTTTAATATTTTCCCTTAATTGTGCCATTCTTCATTAAAGCCGTGCTTTATTTGCACTTTGCACTTAAAGCCGTAATGGATTTCAACGCTTCTCGTCATTCCTTGCCTTTGATAACACCAGTTAGTCCAACATGAGTATGACGTTTTAATATAAAATTTGCTTTTTAAAGGTTGTGATTGATTGATTGGCCATTTTCCTTTGTTCTCCCAATCCACAAAGCTGTAGGTGAAGCTGCACTCTGGATGATTGACTCCTCCTTTTGACCTTGTTAATAACTGAGTTCAGATCATCTCTCATAAGTCATAACTCCTTAGCTTTAATATTAGGAATTCTTTGGTGAGTCCTAACCTTCAATTTACCGGTGCACATAGAACCTTTCTCACCTTTCTTTGGTGATTCATTGGAAGATCTGTGCACCTAATCAAAGAAATGACTTGAAAGTCCAATTGAACAAGTGCAGTGGCAAAGTAAAATGGTTTTTGTTTACACATAGCTGACGGTTAATTCTGCCATTACAGCAGGAGAATCAGGCTAAAACATTTAAGATCATCTTGTTTTGTTCATCCTCAAAGTTTGATAATGTTCCCTTGTTCAAGAGTCCCCATGATAGAAGTGACTAGCTCCATATTCCATAAAAACTGTGAACGCCATGGTCAGCTTTCAATTCTGGTGGCTTCTTTGTTGAATGTATGGTTATAAAGTTGTGTATTGGTTACCCGAACAGCTTACGATCTCAGTTTATAACTGACTTATTGTACAATCATGTAGAGCAATTTACTAACATCGGCAGCTGGTTGTTTTATAGATCCCTCACTTGAGACCAGCTGAGTATAAGAGATCTAGATTGTCTAGGAACAGGAGGACCGTGAATCGTGCCTATGGTGGTGTGTTGTCTGGAGGAGCAGTGAGAGAGAGGTTTGTTCTCTCTTGATATATGTTGCCCATTCTCTGATATTTGTTGTCCCGGGTTTGTCATCATTTTCCTGTGAGTCATACGTGAGCGATGTTGGTTTTTCAGGGTTATTCGAGCTTTCTTGGTGGAAGAGCAGAAAATTGTGAAGAAGGTTTTGAAGATTCAAAAAGCCAAAGAAAAGCTGGCAGCTAAGAGCTGAGGTGTTAATTTAGAGCAACTTTCTGATTTTTCTAGTCTTGGAAATCTTGACATTCAAGTGATTACTGTTCGTGCACTTAAAAATTGTGAGGTGATTGGTAACTGTTTGCTTTAGTTGCTTATATTATGAATCAAAATGATTATTTTTATTGTCATTATCTCATTCTAGATAGATCTAGTTTTTCGACTTGTCATAATTCCTCTAAAACATAGGATTGCAGTTTCACTGTGCTTGTTGAAGTATAACTGGAATAAATTTGACGAACTTTGGCTCTTTAAAAGGGATCTTCTGGCAAGAATTTAAATTCAATGCTTCAAATTGTTATCTATATATTGAGTGAGGACAACTGATTCCACAATAGCTTTTCCTTTTGAGAAAATACATAAGTTACCCATCAAACTTGTCCGGAAAAATCATTTACACCTTAACTTTACGGGCGACCTATATTCTCCTTATTTTTGTTTGAGGTGAATTTAATACTACCCTAAATGTGGCAAAGGCGGTAGTTTCACTCTCCCAAACTCCCCTAAATTTAAGATTAAATGTAAAGGTCTAAGAGTTATGAAATTATTTGTGGGGAAGATAATTTACCCATAAACACCTGCATCAATATAATCCTACTGTAAAGAATTAAAAAGAAAAGAAGACAAAATATCTCACAACCAAGGGCGGTATCACAGACCAAAGCTCAGACCACCAATCTAAGACTGCGACGAAAGTTGATTTTTCGAGTGACTTAACGGCTGTTTCAAAAGCTGTTTTTGGATTGTATTGGACTGGTTTTATGGGCAAGAAGGGCTGGTTTACAAGCTAGAACTGGCAACGTTTTGGATCATTTTCGCAACTGTTTTGGGGCTTATTTTTTGGACTGATTTCAAGTTGTTTTGAAGTTGTAAATTGGTGGTTTTGAGGGCTGATTTCAGCAGGTTTTTGGGGAGGTTTCGGGCCTGAAATTTGCTGCGATTTTCAGTGATTTTAGAGTGATTTTAAAGGGGGAAAAAACTGTTGGAATTTGGGGGTGTCTTGGATCTGATTTTCGCAGCTCTTTTCTGGTTTTCGCAGCTGATTTTGCTACGATTTTGGGGTATTTTGGGGTGAGTTTTAGGTGCTGATTTTGGGGGTTAGTTGTGGTGGTGGTGGGTCGGGGGGGGGGGGGGTTGAGCTCTGTTTTGGGCTGGTTCAGGGCTGTTTTGCCAGCTGATTTTTAGTGGTTAAAAGGAGCGAAAATAGTGGTCATTTGGTGGCGAATTTACATGACTTTGAAGGATGAAGACATGGCTACTGTTTTTGGGTTTTCTTTCTGTTTTTCCAGCTTTTCAAGGTGGTTTAGAGCTGGTTCCATGGTGGTGTAGGTGGTGACGAAGATGACATGGAAAAAAAGAGTTAAAAAAAAGTAATTAAATAAGTGAAAAAAATAAAGCAGCTTTTGACACGTGGCGCTCGTGTACTACACATCCCACCACAAGACTGACTAAGTATTACCAATAGGGGTGTTCATGGTTTGGTTTGGATCGGTTTTTCTCTAAAAAGAAACCAAACCAAGTAAGCCGGTTTTTCAAATATTAGAATCAAACCAAACCAATTAAGTCGGTTTTTCTCGATTCGGTTTATGTCGGATTTTGTCGGTTTTTTGGTTTTTTCGGTTATTTGTCGGTTTTTTCTTAAATATAAAACATACACTACCAAACACATATTCCGGCGACCACATTTTCAACGTAACACTATCAAATCAATTGCCCTTTGAGAAATCTATTATTTACTAAAATATATTGATGATAATAGAATCAAATAGTGATGAATAATTTAAGGACTCAATTAAAAATATATTTTTTTTAACATGAAATAGATTCTTACACTTAACAAAGAAACCTACTAATCAAACTAGAATATAAAGGTATAAAATTGTACTAAAAGTGCAAACGATTAACATTCACCATAAAATTTTTGAAACTTTGTATAAAAACATACATATATATAGGTGTAATAATAAATTTGAAATAGCTACTCCTATAGTCGGTTTGGTTCGGTTTTTTCCGGTTATTTTTTGATGACCAAATTTGATCGGTTTTTAAAATTCAAAACAAAAACCAAACCAAACCAAAAAGTACCGGGTTTTTTGGTCGGTTTGATTTGGTTTTCGGTTTGGTTCGGTTTTTCAGGTTTTTATGAACACCCCTAGTTACCAATGGGGTATTAAATTCACCCCAAACAAGAATAGGGGGGACATAGGTCGCCCGTAAAGTTAAAGTGTGTAAATAATTTTTCCGAACAAGTTTGATGGGCAATTTATGTATTTTCTCTTTCCTTTTTGAAGAAACACGGCACGTACTCGTGTTGGCCTCACTTTCTTGGAATTTATGGCTTTAGTTTTGAGTCTTTTGACTAAATTACAACCTAGTGACTAATAACTCGAACTATCACGAGTTCACATTTCAGTAGTCGGGAACTCTCAGCATCTCGGACAAATTCGGAACAATTTTGTGCTCTCGTATATCACGTTCCTCCACCTAAAATTGCATCAAATTTGTGTAACTATGCGCGAACTTTCATTCGTTATTGTTTCATTAATGAAATAAATCGTAATTGGTATTGTTATTACCAAAAAACAGGGGGAGAAGAAGAAGATTTCGATGCAAGAATCCATGTTAAGGTTGCTCAGTCATTGCTAAACATGGAACAGTGTAAAGGGCGATTACTTTCGTTCACACAAATTTAAGGACAAAATCAGATACATTTAAGTGCTAGCAGCAATATAAAGTGATTTTTCACCAAAGCATGAGTAGCCTTTCGAATTCAGATGGCCAAAAAAGCCTTATTACAAAACAGAAATAATTCAGCACAAAAGAGGTAGGTGCAGACAGACATTAAAGGACAGAACACATCAATTTCTTGGAGTTTTGAAGACCACGTCTTTGAGAAAATGAAGAAATGAAACCACCTTGTCATGGGGTGGTGCATATTCTTTAACTATAGGCAGCTCAATTAGACTAGTCAGCCATGAGCATAACAAAGGTGTCTTGTCTGGATCCAATATCTTCACACCAAACACTTGCTCTTGCACTTTGTATCCCCCTAGTGTAACAACAATCATGATATCTAGCAACCCCATATTCCTGCCTTGTATATTAGTGTCCATACCCAGGGAGGAATTCTTGATTCCATCTTCCAGCGCGTTCAGTTTCTCTAGAAATTCCTCTAATGCATCGTCTTGTCCTTCCCCTTTCAAGACCTTGAGCATGCACTCTGTTACCTGTATATAATTAGAGGCGGATCTTGAATTAAATTAGTAGGTGCAATATTTCAATGCACACACTAGTCATTTGTAACAATAGATGTGAGCTTTGTATAAATACAAAATTTCAACAACTTCTCTACTAGATATATATATATATATATATATATATATATATATATATATATATATATATATATATATATATATATATATAGTAGAAAATGGGTAGGAAGAAATGAATGAACAAATTTTGTGACATGAATTACCTGTTGGATGTAAGAAGCCCAGAATCGGACTCTGGATCTTTCATAAGGATCTTCAGGCAAGAGTCGAGGTTCATTCTTCCACGTCTCATCAATGTATTCAAGAATGACAAAAGACTCCGATATTGGCTTTCCATTATGGACAAGTACAGGTACTTTCTTATGAATGGGATTGTATTTGAGCAGCAATGAGCTTTTGTTGCTCAAATCTTCTTCTACATACTCATAAGGTATGCCTTTGACTTTGAGAGCCAGTTGTACTCTGTTCACATAGGGGCTAATCCACATTCCATGTAGAGTGACCTTATTTTCCTCTCCCATTTTGGTCTCTCAGATTGTTTCAGAGAATTAATTTACATGTTTAAGTTTGTCATATATAAATTTCCTCAACACTTTCTCCGACTCAGTCATCCAAGACTGGGCAATTCTTTAGAAATTTTTTAGTTTCACACAATAAGCCGAGACCAGAACTGTCTGTAGTCAAATTTGACCAGAATATTTTAGAAGAATTGACGTATGTGATAGGAGTAATATACTATGTTCTCTGCATTTTGACCTGCCAGCCGATAATTAATTACTATTTATGATGATAGCAATGACCTCAGCTGCCCATTTCTTAGTGCCAAAGTTTGCCAAAGTGGCGTGGAAGCAAAGGATGGCCGGAAAGAAATAGTCTTTTCCCTTTTGTTTTCTGGGGACGTGGAGATGGAGCTAGTTGACGGCAAAGTTACAGTGTATCAATGGGGTTCAATTGAACTTCTTTGGAAGAAAATTACATTACTTTTTACGTAAGACAAAAATTCCTAAGTGTGTATACGGTCAAGATCGGGTCTCTCTAACTTTGTATGGCTAATCGAAATCGGGATGGCAGACCAAGGTCGGCCTCGCATTGCATCGGACCATGGCACGGAGATGGATCACTAATGTCACGACCCAAACCGATGGGCAGCGACGGGTGCCCGAGTCCTACCTGTCAAACACCCCTAAGCATGCGTCTATGATATAAAACTGAATAACATCTGCTAATTACGAGAATTATATGCATGAAGGATACCTGCCCAAAAGGCATATGTACATATACGTGCAACACACATAGGGCGAGCCGACAAGGCTGCTATAGACAACTACATACCTCAAAATTGAAAGCCGGCAAGGCGACATACTATCCAACTAGACATACTGTTACAGACCCCTATTAGAAATACAATTGTACAAAGACAGGACTGAGCCACGTCATACTCATATAAATATATATACACGCATATCGTACCAATACCAAAAGCAGCTCCGATTCAAGTGGAGCGCGCCAACTCTCGCTGCTCAAGGATCCTAAGGGGGGGAGGGGGGGAGGGAACGTCAGCTTGCCTACCTGCACCTGCGGGCATGAAACGCAGGCCCCGTGAAATAGGGCGTCAGTACGAAAAATGTACTAAGTATGTAAGGCATGAAAATCAGTACGCAAAAGACATAGATGAAACATAGAATAAAGAAATCCATCTGTAAATCTGAATAACTTTGTAAATACCGAAACATTTATAATGTCATGCACGTGCATATAAATGTCGTGCCATGCATAGGTATGAGTGTACATGATATCATCAAGCCTCCGAAGGCATCCCATCATATCGTCTCGGCCATTGTGGGAAACATCATCAACATATACCAACTGATCA